TGTTCCATGCACTGGTGGATCACAAGGGCAGTTTTGCTGACATCCATGATGGATGGTCGGGAAAGATGCAGGACACGCATCTTTATGAACTCTGGTCTTTTTAAAAAAAAGCAGCAAGATGGAACTTTCTTCTCAGATCAGAAAACTACCATTGGAGATGTGGAGATGCCAATAGTGATCCTTGGAGACCCAGCCTAGCCCTTGTTCCTATGGCTCATGAAGTCCTGCGTAGGCAATCTGGACAGCAATAAGCGGCGCTTCAACTGCAGTCTGGGCAAGTGCAGAATGGTGGTAGAATGTGCTTTTGGATGTTTAAAGAGAAGGTTACAGAGTTTATTAACTAAGTTAGACATCAGTGAAAGAAACATTCCCATTGTTGTGGCTGCTTCCCATGTGCGTTCCACAATCTGCAGAAAGGGGAAAAATTTCTGGCAGGGTGTGCGGTTGAGGTAGATCACCTAGCCTCTAATTACAAGCAGCCACACACCAGGGGCATGTCTACACTACCCTTGGCTTCTGAAAGATATGCAGATTCAGCGCAAATTTGCATATCTTCTTCTGATCCCGTTTTCAGAAGAGGTTTTCTAAAAAAAAAAGTCTAGATGGGGGGTTTTTCAACCCCCCCCCTTTCCTAAAGAATCCTTAGTCTTCAAAAAATGAAGTCTACAGGGTTCTTTTAAAAAAAGGGGGGGGTTGCGCTTCCCCCCCCCAAAAAAAACCTCTTCTGAAAAAGGGATCGGAAAAAGATATGCAAATTCATGCCAAATTTGCATATCTTCTTTCAGAAGCTGAGGGTAGTTTAGACACGCCCCAGGGCAATAAGAACAGCACACTGAAGGGCACTTTGAATCAGAAAGGCTTTGAAAACCAGTTTCATGAATGACCAGGCAGTAATGTGACAGTCATGTATGTTGCTCTTTTTAGTAAGATGCCCCATGCATTGTGCATACTGCCTCAAAAACTGTCCCTCCCTTGCAGTTGATACGAGCAATAAAGATCCTGTTGTTCTGAAATCATGCATTTTTATGTAGGGAACATGTACAAGGCCAAGTGGCAGATAACGCCCCTGTTCAGCGATCACAGCCTTCTGTTCCAGGAGACATTCCTGGGAGTTGAGTTCAAGGTTACCCTGGACTTCTGCTTCCTCCCTCTTTCCCCTCTCCCCCGCTTCTGCATTCCAGGGCGACTAAGAGAGGCGGCTATGGAACTTGGTGAGGAGGGCAGGTGGTTCAGTAGGAAGAGAAGTCTGCGCTCCACCTGCTTTTTATGTGCCTCTACTAGTCACTTCAGCAGCTCAGTTTGCTTTCCCCATGAGCCTCAAGATCTCATCCTGGGTCTTGCATTCATGTTCCCTGCATGCTCTCCTCTCTTCATGCTCCATTTGTATCATCTGCAGTGTTGTTCTCCTCCATACATTTACTTGTGCCCTGTTGGTGTGGGTAGATTACATTTGTTAAACATGTCATTCCAAGAACTTTTGGTTTTTGGCCTTCTGATTTGTGATAGCAAGAAGCACGAGTGTATCAAGGAGAGTGGGGAAAAGATTCACTGTTCTACACGCTGCCACAAAAAATGAAGGGCAGACTATGAGAAGATACATTGTGGAATGCACAGGCTAATCTTTTACCACGAAAGACCATCTGTCCTACACAATAGGCCTGTGTTATGTACAAAGCCAAAGTTATATTTTTAAGCATCTACAAGGCAGGTACAAGACAGATCGCCACAGTTCAGCTGGACTCTTTGGTGGCAGGCATGGTAAGCACTAGGCTGGGGGGCTGTTGCTTGTTTGCTTCAGCTTTGAAAACACATGCAACACACTGCCTGCAAAGTACATCCTGCTTGGCTATCTAGGCTTCTGCATTTAAAGGGGGGCTGCAGTCATGAGGGGCTTTGCAAGAGCGAATGGGGTAACCGTGTGGGATTATGTGGCCAGCATGTGTTCAATATCCCCCCTCTCTTCCCCACCACCTTTAGAGGGAGAGTGCAACTTTGCCTTTCCCCAGGGACCTGGTAGAACCACACATGCTTATAGTATTTTACGCAGGGGCAAATGCACAGGCTTGCAGGGGCTCATGGAGCCAGCAAACTTGGGGTCGTGCTTTGTTGGCCATGAGCCAACAGTTACAGAAGTTCCTACTTCATCCAGGTTGCCATGCAAGGTACCAGTTTTCTCCGAATCACACAGAATAAGAAGGAACAAATGCTGACTTAATACAGCCAGAAACCCGGACCTTATGCTGCAATGATGCCAGACAACTTAAGTGTTGGCTGGGTGTGAAAAGGTTTCCTACCGTGGAGGATGGGATACGACGGGCCTCGCCAAAAACCTTGTGAGAAGGATGAAAGTGTACCGCTATGAGAGCTTTGTGGAGATACGCAGGGAGGATTCCTGTTCTGGAGAACCTCCTTCCATGTAGGCAGAGTGGCCGCCACAGATAAAACCCAAATTCCCTTAGCACACTTGTAGCATGCTTATAAACGTGAACTTACCAGAAGTGCCTTCCCTGCCATCAGGGTCTGGCAGCAATACATCCTGGGAGGAGGTGATTGGCTCCAGCTGTTAGTGAGATTGGATGGTCCACTTGCATGCTGAGCATTCTCCCCCTTATCATCAATATCTTCCTCGTTGTTGCCCAATGTTGCCTGAAGAATCTCTTGGGAGGTAGCCATAGACAATTTTGGGGGCACTGATCGGGTCCCCCCTTAAAATCCCATGCTCATAGACAGCATGTTTGCAGCTCTGACCCAAATCAACTCTGTTTCCTTTGTCTTCTGGTACACTTGCCTGGGCTCCTTTATTTTCATGTGGCCCTGCTAAGTGTCTCTGGTGTACCCTTTTTCCACTGTGCCCTGTGTGATTTTGGCATAGAGATCAGCATTACTTCTGCTGCTTTAGAGTGCTGCCTGCACAGATTTCTCTCCCCACATGGCAATCAGATTCAGGATCTCCTGCACTCTCCATGCTGGAACTTGTTTGTGACCCTGGGCATTCATGGTCAGGAGTGCTGCCTGCTCTGCTGGCCACGCTGGCCACACAGGAGAGAAATTAATGATGTCAGGGCTTTTCTTGCACACTTGGAGAGCAGTAGAGTTGAAAGCGCTGGCTAGAGTGTACTGGGACCCTGTGGGACACCTCCGGGATCCAAGAATGTCAACTTTCATAGCTCTGCATCTGCATCACCCCAAAGGCAACCACACAAGGTGCAATTTGCCATTATGCCTCTTGTCAATGAGTAATCAACTAACTGCCTCTGAAGTCAGCAGATCGGGCTCAGTGTGGAGGCTCATTTTTTAGAAAAATCAACCAACCATGGGTAAGTTCGATCTAAACTCGTAGTGTAGACCAAACATCAAGGACATCAGCTCTAATGTGGATACAGCTTTCAAAATCAGCTATATCAATCAGGTGCAGCAAACACTGGATTCCCTTCACTGTTTGTCAGTTCCCTTCAGGTGGCCTGAGAATGTGCACCAGCTGTTGCTTTCTTGGACAGGTTACAGACTAGGCTAGTCAAGAAATCTGGGAAATGTGTTAGATTCTCAGGCTAATTAAAGGACCCTGAAGTGTTTATCACAGGGTACAGGTCAGGATGAGCTGCATGGCATCAAATCAGAACGTGCATTCATAATCTTCTTTGGGGTCAATTTTTGCATGGAAGGATTGCGTAACCCTGCCAGTGTCTCAGAGGCTGTCCTTAATTTCACTGTTTTTTTACTTCATTCTCTTGTAATTTTTCTTTTCTTGCATTCTTAAGAAACTCAGTGTAGCTATGCGAACACGCTTTTGCTCTAGTTTCTACAGCAAATGTCAGAAGCTTATTTTGTACTTTTCCTTAAAGACTGGAAGCCTTTTCTCAGGAGTGCACACCTGTTCAGTTCAGCCTCCAAATACTTGCAACACTACAGAAATTAGTATTCAATGTGTACAGAGCCCTAAAACACAAAGTAATTTCTCAAAAGTACAACGTATCTATCTCAATGATCTAGAGACATGTCAAGATGCTGATGGACAAAGCCAACTTCTTAAAAAAAGTTTATTGAAAGATTTGAAAAATATTTGATCTTTCAGCAATATGTAACAAATTTTCAAAGCATTAACATGAAACTTGAGATTTTTAAAACTTCAGCATACACTAAATTAAAATTGTTACACCAGTCTTAGAACTTCAATAACTTACATTTTCTTTTTTTTAAACTTTAAACAAGGATCCTTTGAGATCACCAACTCATTTTTCCTTTCAAAGGAGAATGTCACAATTCTTAGGCCCTGCTTACATACTATATACCAGCAAACTACACCCTTAGTAGAGAAGCATCTCAGTAAAAGGTGTCTTTTGCTGGTGCAGCTTAAACCAGATCCATGAACAGAATATGCTATACCGGCAAAAGAAGGTTTTTGCCAGTAACTGCATCTACACTACGGCTTTTGACAGAATAGCTGTATCAGCTTCTGAGACAGCTATGTTAGCAAAAAAATTTCAGTACAGACTGCATCTTTGTAACCTGCTTCTGTACGGCCAATTAGGAGAGAAAGATCTTGAGAGGAGTGAGGGAGGCATTTTTACAATGGAATAAATTCTTGAAGTATTAAAACATACACTGGGGTTTTTGTTAAAGCAAAGCTGGTAAAAAAACAGGATTAAGTAACTTGTCCAAAGTGAAAACAGAAGCATAAATCCATCAGATTACATTCTTCCCTGTAGTCATGATTGTACCTCTCTCTACTCGGGAATGTAGCAATCCACAGACTTTTGTCATCAAAGTGTCCTTCATAGGCAAAACTATGAAGAAATTTCACTCAGAGCCAAATAATGCAACTGCCTGTGTATGTCAGATTAATTTTAATGAGAAATATAAGTCAAATTTAGAAGGAGTAGTTACAATGGATTTTAGAGATTACATTTTATGAAATGTACACTGAAAATTTGAGTTCCACAATTTGCTCCATGTAATAATCAATGATATTTACTATTGTAAAAAGCACAAATAAAAAAGGTGCTAAAATGCTAGGTTTTAGCTTTAAAAAAAAACCTGCTGTTCTATATAAGGCTCAATTTTACTTGTCATACCATTTCAAATGGTTATTTTTTCACTTCCTATCTAACAAAGCCTTTTGCCCATTCACATTAATTTTAGTACATTTATACACTCAATGTTATAAGTAAAGGCCTTACTCTGTTCCTTTTCTCAATTATTGCATTTTTAAATAGGGAAATGTATCTTCTCTAAAACAAAAAAATCTTTGTATAGCTCAGAAAGTAAACATCTGTTCAAAAATTGAATACTCTGTCGGCTAGTAAACCCGTAAGCAACCTTAAACAGTGATATAACAATTATACTGGTAAATTCAAGTGAAAAAAAAATCTAAAGCTATCTGAACATACTCAAGGGTGTCACAACTTTTGCTGGTCCAGACGGAATTCAATCAATATTCTGATTAACAAAATACTTACAAACTGAACATTAATTTATATTACCACAATTTTAGTGTGATTTACACCATTGACAGAGTTTAAATATGCTTTATGCAGAGTGCTCTCACCTTGATTTGACAAAATTAAACAGACCAGAGTAACATCCAAAAGAGACATTATTAGCTCATCAGAGGACTTCAGATTAGGCAGAGTATGGGAATTAATACATCTCTCATTTTTATCCCTGACTGCACAAACAAGAGCAAGTTCAGTAGAACACCTTTGAAATCTGACAATCAGTAACAGATTCCTCTGCAATAATATGCAATAGTTTTAAAGATTAGCAGAAAATGTTCATCCGTTTTAACGGTCTATGCAAAGATAATGTGAAGATGCCAGGATCTGAACAATACGATTACAAGAGACTGCACCACAAAGAACATAAATGTAAACATCATAACCGAGTTTGATTTTTAGTACAAGTGATTTCAGTACAAATCCTTTTTTCAAACTACTTATTTTCATAAAAGCATATTGTATTTCATATACAATAAAATATGTACATTAAACAAGTAAGAAACATTTGAAAGACTTAAAAAAGTACATACAAGACTTAAAATATCTTGAAGCGTGCTGAAGGCACCATTGCTACTATGCTGGGAATGTGTCCTGTTTCTGATCAGCCTATCAGTGCAGTATCCCTTTTCTTCTTACTCAAGTTATCAATCCTGCTAGAAGCACACTTCACTTAAATGTTAAGTGCATTCAGATCCAATTTAGAATGTGAGACTAGGTCATGTGGTTGGGTAGTGGTTCAAAAAAACAACAATACAACCAGCCTAGAAGAGACACTGCAGGTTAGGTCCGCAATAAGCACCTGATGAAAATCTGTAGTTTACAATCTCAAATGCTGCTGCTTATTCCAGAGGGTTAAACAGAGAAAAGAAAAAATCCAAAATCATTTCTAAGGGTCCCAAACACGCTGAAGGAAATTGCTCAGGCATAATAAGCTCATCTACAAAAAAGTATGCCACTTTACCAATTTGTCCACACAAGCAGTTGTCAGAGATGCCTATGGGGTCTCTCAATAATGTTAGTTCAAATGGGCAGAAAGAAAAAGGGTTTTCAATACTTACATAACTATCCAGCTAGTAAGTTGTATCTGTAGAGTGGTTCTTTCCCCTAATTCTTGCTACATTTTTATGGAAAGGCAAAATATTTAAGTAGTTCACCTGATGGGAAGACATTTTGACTATCATGCCTTTCTTTAAGTTACAAGAGCATTTTAAAAATAAAAATTGCTTTGTGTTTTAGATGAGAAGTTGAGCAAGGAATTCCAAATCTACCAAATTAACTCAAATATTTTAATGCCATTTTTCTATTATGTATCTTGGTACAAACTATCATGCTATTCTGCAAATTACTTGTTACAACTGTGTCTGAGGTGGTTTGTAGATGTTAGTATTCATATTGATTAAAAATACCAGCCCATTACAAATTTAAAAAAGGCTTTAAAAAAAATCAGTTTTTAAATTCTTCCACTCCTATTCTCGGCAGACAGGAAGCAACACAATAGTTTCTGGTCATCAGCAGAGCAGATTGATATAAGGTACATCACTATTTAAAAATGTATGCATTGGTCTATTCCTTCTAGGCTGAACACACATTTTTATACAAGGGATACTGCCATTTTAAGTTCCCATGAGTCTCATTAGGTGTCAACATTTAAAATTCTTCTTCAACAGCAAAGTGATTTTGCTTCTTCCGAACATTCCAGTGTAAACACTCAGCCAGGCTTTCAAACCAGTCGCTCACGGGATCTCGGAAGCAAATCGAAGGGAGGGGATAGCAAGAGGTAGTGATGCTAATACTGCAACACAGGAATAACCTCAGTTAGTAAAGAGGGAGGATAAAGTAGTAATAAGACACAACATTATGTGTATTGAAGCTAACAGTCCCTGATACCTACCGTAAAATCGTGAGTATAATGTGCACCTATGTATAATGCACAACCTGACTTTGGAATCTTAGCATAATGAAAAAATCTGAACTCCTGCGTATAATGCGCCCCGGGGTTTGAAGCCATTGAGCTTAGCAGCCCCACAACTTCTGCCAACAGCTGGCTGTCCCGCAACCAGGAGCCGACCCACCAGCACCAAGCCCAGCCTCCCCAGCTTCCCGGAAGCAGCCATGGGCTGCAGGAGAGCAGGAGGGAAGGACGCGCTGCTCCCACCTGCAGGCTCGCCTGGGAAATGCACGTGCAGCCCAGGGAGCCAGCAACGGAGTTTGAAACTTGCCCCCCGCCCTTGGATAGCTGCCCGCACGCTGCGCCAGCACCAAGCCCAGCCTCACCTGCTTCCCGGAGGCAGCCATGGGCTGCAGGAGAGCGGGAGGGAGGGACATGCAGCTCCCACCTGCAGGTTCGCCTGGGAGGTTCGGGCTGCACAGCCTCTTCCCTCCCTGGTGCTTGCCAAGCTCGCACCTGCCGCTGGGATCCCCGGGTGCAGCCTGAAGGAGCACCGGGCAGGCAGTGAGCCAGGGTGCTGCAGCCTGGTGGTGCCACCAGCTCCTCGCCTTGTCCAGGAGCCTGGCAGGGCAGCGATCCCTATGCCGCGCTGCAGTGGGAAAAGTTTCCAGGCACCACCTGAAGGAGCACTGGGCAGGCAGCAAGCCAGGGCGCTGCCAAAATAAAACTTTAAAAAATAACACCTATGTATAATGTGCATCCTGACTTTGACCCAAAAAAGTCGGAAAAAAGTGCGCGTTACTCTCACAATTTTATGGTATATTTATCTTTTTTAAAATATATATAAATACTCTTGGGACTCTGGCTACATCACTGAGCATTCGATCCTTTGGAGAGTGGTCAGTTTCCAAAGTATGGGCGTGGCAAAGGTGGGGCACAGTGCCTAAGCAATACAGGTAGGACCTCACTGGTCTGGCACCCTCGGGACCTGACTGGTTCCAGATGAGGGTTTTTGCTGGACCAAGGAGGACATTTCTGGACCCCTGCCACTGGCCCCTCTGGTCGGCTCCCCACCTTCTGCTGACCCCATTGGGCAGCCATCGCTGCCATGGCTCTGGGCCCCACAGGCAGCTGTGCATGCTGTGCCGCTGCAGCTCCCAGGCGTTCTGGGCAGCCTCGTACGGGGTCTCCCAACTCTGCTGGGCAGCCCTGCTGCCCCATGCCGAGTGTCCCCGCCATCAGCTTGCTGTGGGCAGCCCACTGCTCTGCTGGCCCCACAGGGATCCATGCTGCTGGCCCTCCTCCGGAACCCTCTGGTCCTGCAACATCCATGCTGGACCATGGATGTTGCTGGACCAGAGAATCCTGGTTAAAAGAGTTTCAACCTGTACAATGAGCAGAGTGTTTTACAAGTGTTGGGAGGTCTGTACACCAAAACTCACAGGAGCAGAACGTTGTAGGCCAACATGCCTTGCCCATGACTCTCTCATCTTACTCTTTGCTATGGGGGCTAACAACCTCACCTTCGGACCAACTCAAAATTTAAACGCTTTATAATATTAAACTCTTACCAGGAGCCTCAAATTTCAAAAATAAGGACAGCAAATACTAGAGAATCTAACTTTTCTACTGAAGAACCAGACACCAAATCTAACCCTAACCCTAACCAGATTAGCCAGCCCCTTCCCCTCCATTCTTTAAGTGGTCAGTATAGTATAAGCGCAAGATCCTGGTAATTCTCCAGTTCCCTGCCTGTATGTATGTACAATGAAGTGTAAGTTCTTTCAGCCATACCACTGTGTCTCGTGAGTTGCAAAATCCTGTCTCTGAACGTAGCAATGGCTCATCAATGCATCTACAATTGTGTTTATTTGAGCATAGTAAAGGGATGCATCTGCTCTTTAGAGTTTTTTATCAGCCTCGCCGATGGCACAGCACACAAATATGGTCATACTCCAAGAGAAACGGAAGAACATGAAACTCACATTCACTTCACTGTGCTCAACAGGACTCAATCAGGACCCTAAGTTGAAGTCCACAGAATTCTTTAAGGAAATGTATTAAGTATCACTTGTATGATTTTTTTCACACTTCATTGCTTTTAAAATGTGATAATTTTTTCCCTTAAGTGAGACAATGCCTAAAACAATATAGCATTTTAAATTCAGCTTGCGACTTAAGGCTCATGATGACCTATTAAAAAACTCAATAGTGTCCCTACTATCCCCAACCAAGTCTGAAAGTGAGGCCGCAGATTCTTGTGTCAATATTATTAAGGGTGTCATAACAATCAAAGAAAAATCTTCACCTGTCTCCATGGCAGACTTCCTGTCTCTTTCTCCCATCAAATGAAACCCAGGCTGTGTTCCTGGCATCAGGGGACAGCATGATCTGAGGAAGAGTAAAGCAGGAGGCTTACAAATGAAATTATACAACAGCTTTTGTAGTTAACGGGCAAAGAGGAAGTACTCCCCTGAATATTATGCTTTGTTACTACACCTTCAGTGATCTAAATGTTTTGCTGAAATTACGTGTCCTCTCCTACCATTTTTTCCTAATGGTTTGGCATACTATAGATAAAAAGTTTAATTTTTATATATAATTTACTTCATGTGTTGCACATACTTGCCCTTTTTATATGTACATTGAAGCCTTTTTCTAATGATGGCAATAAGCTGGTTTACCAAAGGCATTCCAGTTACAAAAGACCTGAGCTTGGTATAAGTGTCAATATATGACCCAATCCAATGAGATGAGATAATGAAATTCTCCACAGAACAAAGTACAATCTACATTCTGGAATAATACATTTTAACTTTAATCCAGGGCGAAACTAAAGTTTGCAAATTTAAGACAGTTTTTATTTTAAATAAGAGATATCATAAAGTGATCAATTGCCATAAAAGCATTATCAGCTATTGTGTAGATAATTGTGGGTTGATAAACATGCCATTAACAAATCCATGAAGTAAAAATCTTTCCATTTCTTCAAGCTCCACCCTGCATGCTCTTTCCTTGCCAAATTTTCGACCCCATATCTCTCTAAGAAATAGCCTATGCCTTCCATATTATAGATTATTAATTTAAATAACTGTTTCAGTTATGTGGTAAACACAAAATACCTGATATTCATTTCTGAACTAAAAAAATTTGTTAAAACAAAATCCACTCTGTAATAAGACATTACATTCCAATCTTTTCTGCAGAATTATATTATTTAGTCACTGTAGTAAAAGACACAATTTATAAAAGATGTACTAATACCACTCTTACTACACACCCGTGAAAGCTGTGATGCTATTTTTTTTAGACACCAGGGGTCTGATCTGTCTGTCTTTCACCACGTGTAGTCATATACATCTATGCAAAATGGATATAAAGCACTATTACTTATCAGAATAGTAGTATATTTACACTCACTTTGCATAGATACTGATGACCATACAAAGTGCAAATCAGTGGCAACTTATGGTCTGTAAGTTTATTCTTCTAAACAAGTATATACTGCTTCAAAAATACTTGACAAAGTTCTACAGTATTCAGTCACATTTTGCATTTCTATCACTACTCTACATTTTGTTGTGTGTTTTTTCCTCAGTTTCAATAGTTATCTCCACAAGGTGCTATCTTTAAAAAAGTGAAAATACAATTTCACCTTGAGCTCAACTCCTGCAGGAACAACAATGGGTCTGAAGGACAGTGAGTGAGGACAGATTGGGGTGATCATTATTGCAGGAACATTTGGATGAATCATAGATGCTCCTGCTGCAGCTGCATAAGCTGTGCTACCAGTTGGCGTGGATACTATCACTCCTGTGAAGAGAACAAAAGTTTTAAACGTGTGGAAGACTGGCTCAATGCCGTTCTTTAAGAGGAGGCTAAGAAAAAGGACAGCTGCACTTCCTTCACCTGAAAATACTAATTAAAAAAACCTAAATCCCGCTTTCTGACTCTAGTCAACCAACCAATTAGCCCGTCATAAGATGGGATTTTCAGGTCTCTCCTCCACGTCGGTCTTCTTTCCTTAGAGGGATAGGAGGATTAATGTTTTTGAAGAGCTCTGAAGATGAAGTGCTAATATTAAATAAGTAGTGGCTTCATTTTAAAAGATCTTAAGATTTTAGCAGACTCAGACATCCAACTCCAGGATCTTTCCCAACTCCCCCCCCCCCTTTGTCCCTAATTCCCATACACAAACAAGTGGCGACTCGACAACAGGCCTCCATGTAATAAGATATCATTGTAAGCCTCTTTTCTGCTTTCAGTGGTGCTCTCAGGACTACAACAATTGTATAAATAAAAAGATTCACCACTCCTTTGCACACCTTGTTTTCAACAATCCAGGAGCAGAAGCCAAGGCCTTGATTTCTACCTCAAAACAATGCACTCTTTTTTAAAACGGTAAGAGCAACCGAAATAAGAGCTCAGACTGACTGTCTTAAGACAGGATCAGGCTGTAAGCTTTTTGATTATAAAATGGACTTACCATCACCTTGAACTGTGGTTATGAGGTGTCCATCTAGAAAAACATCCACATTGGAAAGGTAGGAGGAAGGCCCTCGATCCACTACAACTTCATTTAGGACCTGACATGATATTGAATATCACTGGTTAGTTATTTCCCTGGCAGCATAATATTTTACAAGTGACCAGTTAAGTATATATCCCATATCTCTGAAAGGTTAATTCTTCACCAGACATTTACAATGTCAGTCAAGATTAGTCTTGAAGTCACATAAGTTTGTTTCAGATATCATCAGATAATGATTATCTGATGCAATAGTTGAAAAGCTATTTTCAAAAAGCAAGTTTCTATTTGATGTAGATGGATTTTCCCTTTGTTTATATGAATCTGTGAGTGATTCAGTGGTAAAGATTACTGTAAGTGATTTCTTAATTATCAAAAGGTAGAGAGACCTCTCTGGCGCAGATACAAAGTATTACAGAAATTAAATACGAGATTGCTTCTGCACACTCCAACATTCTTTCTTTATCTTTAGTAACCATTCTAGAAATTAATGTGGAAACAGATACTGTAGATGTCATAATCCTGGATTAATATAAGAGGGTGTAGATACAGTATACAAAAAAGAACTAGTAATTAACTCAACTGAAGAGCGAATTGTTTTAGCTCTTTTGCTCATTTCCCATTTTACGGTATTCAGACTCTGACCTGGTATTGCATGATTTGCTTGCCCACTTCCATCTCTAGACTTGTAGAGATAACTCCATTTTCTTCAATACCATTTTGTATCAATGTCTTCTTCTCTCTGTGCTCCTTTACTACTTTCACTTTCAGTCGGCTCCGGAGAACAAGTGCTGCATTGCCTGTAAGAAAGAATAAGTGATGAACAAAACATTACAAAAACCACCACACTGGAGCAGCACTCACTATTCATGGGTTCCCAAACTGGGGGGCATGAAGAAATTCCAAGGGGGGGGGTGCGAGGCAACCCAGACCTCCTCCCCCCATATCAAGTTTTGCTGCACCGCTCAGGTCCCCCCCCTTTTTTTTTGCTCAACAAATTTTGCTGCTATTTGGGGAAAGAGAGGGGGGCATGAGGGTTTTTCAAAAATCAAAAAGGGGAGGGCGTGATGCCAAAAAGTTTGGGAACCACTGCACTATATTATCAGGACCTGCACCATAGTCACAGTAAGCTAGCACCATTCATTGCGAAATGTTTCCCCCCATTTTTCAGTTACTAATAACATTCTCAAGTTCCTTTTGAAGGACAATTATCCATCTTTTGTCTTAACACAAAATAAAATTATTTTTGTAAGAATGAGCAAAACTTGAGTCAAATTAGGATATAAAAGCATAAAAACCCACTTTCCCTCATATGTTCTAACAAGAAATTTAAAATTTTACATATATACATAACCTAAAACAGCTAAAGCCAGAAATTGTGTACTTGGTTTATCTAAAAATTCTTAGGGAGACTTGTAAGACAAACACAAAGACAATCTTTTTTTTTTTTTTTTGGTAGGTGTGTGTGGCTAAAGTATGAATTCTTAAAGGCAACATTAGAATTCTATTCATATTTTTGATAGCTTAATTTTGGGGCACAAGCTAAACAGCTTTATTTCCTAGCAACCGATGGCACCGTTTTATTTCAAATATTTAGAATACCAAGAACTACTGTAAATGCAAAATTCAAGTTGAGAAATCAAGCACTCAAGAGTCAATAGTTAGGATTTCTCATTCAGTGCTAACTCAGTCACACAGCATATGATTTCTTATTCCAATTTTCCAAACTCAATGTAAACTTTAATGGTTTACTGTTTAATAACATATCAATAGGCTAAATTAGATTCACAAAGCAACGTTAAAGGAAAAAAACTTGAATTTTGGAGTTTTCTGACTTTTAAATGCTTGATTTCTTACTGTTTTAATGTGGCATTGTTTACAAACACAGGGAAGTTACAAGTGGTTAGGTCATCTAGAGTCTGTCCATGCCAACAGATCCAAGATTTGCATTTTTATACTTAAACTCAAACTGTGCAAAACATTAGTTCTATATTCTTTCCTTACATACCACAACTACGCAAAAAAATGATTTCTGGACCATTCCAGCTTTACAAATTAAAAAGGAAAACAAAACAGAAAGTTAATAAAATAGCTATAAAAAATAAGTAAGTCCCATAAGACAAATAAAGGATAACTTTCTAAAAAGCAACAAAGGCAAGAAGACTTGATATGCATAACAAAAACTTCTTACCTTCTATAACCTGAGTAACTTGGGACTGAAAGTTTTCAAAATTAAAGGGAGTAAGAAATCCAAGAGATCCCAGATGAAAAGCCATAACTGGAGGTACACTACCCTGTCAACCAAAAGAAGAGTTGGGAAGCTACTAAATATTGCTCAAATCAAACATTGATGTTATTTCCAGGCTTTGTTTATGTGTAAGAGGTACTACAATACAGCCCAACCTGTCTACAAATATCAGTTATGGGTTTTATTTCAATTATGCATATTTTTAAAAAATGGTATAATTCAACCAAGTAGCTCTCATGCTTTTTGGATGAGCAGACTTGGCAGGAGCAGAATAAAACAAACGCAACATGACAGAAGACTTCAAGACTTGTTTCTAACATACTTATCCAGGACTCACCTGGAAAAGTGAAGAAGCATAAAGCAAAGTACCATCTCCTCCTAGGCATATGATAAAGTCTATCTGATTGGAGATATCATCATAATCTAAAGGGTAACATTGAAAATAAAGGTTTTAATTTACATAATATATCAAAAGTTTCAATTTACAGATGTAAATTTTGTGCAGCATACTGATGCTAATTTCCAAGTGTAAATAACTGACAGCAGGCTATCAAAACAGCAGCTGCATGCATTTATTAAGAACAGGTTTCCATCAGATAATTCTGATCCATTTGAATGAATCACTAAAGAAATAGGATGAAAAGGCTGTAAACCTAGATTAAGAAATCATTACCATACCTTCTCTGAAAGTGCAAAATTTCTTCTTCACTGGTCCAAAATTATCATCATTAACTATAGCTGGGTCTTCTAGCACTTTTTTCTCTACATAAACTATCATGTTGTTCTCCTAAAAGAAGCATAATTATTTACTAAAAAAAAAAATCTGTAATTGAAATGACTAGCATCTGACCTTCAACAGTATTTTATTAGTTAACATATGTCAAATATTACAAAACTGATTGCCTACTTCTGTATGTATTGTTATAATCATGTAACATTTAAGCATAACATTTACTGTCATATGAAGACCGTATAATGATTGAATTAATGAAACTAAACTTTAAAATGTTTATTACAGGTCTGTGATATTAGCTAGCTAATATTTTTCTCGGGGCATAATGAAATATTTTCCTTTATTCTGCTATATTACAGAAGCAGAATCCTTTAAGCTGAGTTCTTATAGGAAGATAATCAATTGTTTAAAGTTTAACAATTTATTATTTCTGCTGTTCTTTGTGTGTATTGACTTATTTACTCCTATAATTCTGTGTTCATTGTAATAAAGCAAATACATACAAGTTAAAAATGAGATGGTATACTGTAACTATGAAAAAGTCTAAACGCTCACAATTCAAAGTACCTCAGTAAGATATACACAAAGTTCTTTAAAAGGCTGTAGCAGACTGGCATCACGGATCTTTTTGATAACAAGGACGCTCTTTGGAGGTTTGTTCCATGTCAACCGCTGACTTGCTGGGTCCTGAATATGCCTGTGTGAATATTTGTGGGAAAGCAGATTGTGATTCATGACCATCAAGTTAATATCCCCCTTTAGTCAAAGTATTCTAGACTAAAACAGCAGTCAAAAGTCATTAAAAACCCTAATAGCTAAAATTAATCTAGTAAAGAGACCAGACAGGCTACAATGCAATGCCATATTAGTTTTCAGCAATATGACTGCAGTTTTCATTGAGAACATTCTGTTCAGTCTTTATTAAGAAAGAAAATGTTCTAAGTTTTAATCATGAGAAGTCTGAAAAGTGGCAACTAAACAATTACACAAGTGATTGATAATTACAGTAGTTTTCTTGGAGCCAAACAGCACTGCTTTATTCTGTATAGGGTTCTGACTAGGGATGTGAATGGTTAACCAGTTAACTTGTAAGCCTCATCCTTAATGGGTTAACCAGTGGGGGCTTGAGCAGCTCCCCATCTGCACAGCCAGGAGGCTGCTCCAGCCCCACGGGGCCCACTGCAGGCAGAGGGCTCCAACCTGGCCAAAGCAGTCCCTGTCTGCATTGGGAAGAGCTGCTCCACCCTCTTTAAAAGGTTAGCTGATTAAATATTACTTTAACCAGTTAACCAATTAAATGGGATTTTACATTCCTAGTTCCGACTAGATGGGTCATTTTTCTACCCCATTACAGCAATTCTTATTTCCCCACTGAATTCACAGACTCAAGCAATATTCCTGCAAGTACATACATGCTACAGAAGTTTGAGAACATGGGTCCTAGGTTTCTTATGGATGCACAATGACAGCTACTAAAACCCTTTCTTGAACTACCACACCACTCCACTAAACTACACAGCAACTACGCACACATGGCTGGCCCGTGCCAACTGACAAACTAGGGTTATGAGGCTGTTTCATAGCTCTGTAGATTTCTGGGCATGAGCTGCAGCCCAAGCTAGGGATGTTAAATTTAGATTAATTAGGTAACTGAACAGTCAATGCAATTTACATCGACTATTTGATTAGTAGATAAGGGCACCTCTGACTTTGAAGTATAGCAACAGCCCCAGGGCTTTTGCTACACTTCAAAGGCAAAAGCACTGTGGAGAGCACAGGGCCAGAGGGAGACTCAAGTAGTCCTCCATTGGCCCTGTGCTCCCCGTGGTGTTTCAAAGAGGCAGTGCCACATGGAGCCCGGGGTCCGCAGGGGAGTCATAGTGGACCACAAGATAAATATGAGTCAACAGTGTGACGCTATTGCAAAAAAGCAAACATGATACTGGGATGCATTAACAGGAGTGTTGTGAGCAAGACACAAGAAGTCATTTTTCTGCTCTGCGCTGATTAGGCCTCAGTTGGAGTATTGTGTCCAGTTCTGGGCACCACGTTTCAAGAAAGATGTGGAGAAATTGGAGAAGGTCCAGAGAAGAGCAACAAGAATGATTAAAGATCCAGAGAACACGAGCTATTAGGGAAGACTGAAAGAAGTGGGCTTGTTTAGTTTGGAAAGGAGAAGACTGACAGGGGACATTATAGCTGTTTTCAAGTATCTAAAAGGGTGTCACAAGGAGGAGGGAGACAAATTGTTCTCCTTGGCCTCTGAGGATAGCACAAGAAACAATAGACAAGAGAGGTTTAAATTGGATATTAGGAAAAACTTCCTAACTGCCAGGGTAGTTAAACACTGGAATAAATTGCCTGTGGAGGTTGTGGTATCTCCAGCTCTGGAGATATTTAAAAGCAGGTTAGATAGACATCTATCAGGGACCATCTAGATCTAGATGGTGCTTGGACTGGACTCAATGACCTCTCGAGGTCCCTTCCAGTTCTAGTGTTCTATGAGAGTCTATTATTCTAGTTCTTCACATCCCTAGCCCAAGCTCTAGGAACCTCCTACATTGCAATTCCTAGAACCAGGACTACAGCCTGAGCCCAGAAGTAAACACAGCCATAAAACAGCCCCGCAGCATGAGCCTCGTAAGTCTGTGTTGGTTGCTGAGTAGACATACGCTAACAGACTTCCAGCAATTGTGCTCCCATGTCTCTTGTATTAGGGGCCACTCCACTTGGACTGTCAGAGTGATAAAGCATCCAACTGAAAATCTGAGAAAGTAGTAACATGAAAGACTATCTATGCTTTTCAGCCAAATCTACATATTAAACATTCAGCATGGGTCTATGATACAGCCACTCCAATTTACATACCAAGGTTCAAACAAAACCACTTACGTTTAAATTTTAAATCCTTTAAAGTATACATTATCAATCCTACAAATTTCTCCAGACCTAAACACACCTATCCAATTCAAATAAAAAGAGGGAAAGTATTTTAATCAATAAAACTCTCAACCAGAAATCATTAAAACCAAAACACGTCAAGAATTGTAAGGGGACGTTTTAAATCTTTCAACTCTAGTGTGGGAAGTTCCCTACATAAACATTTTATATTTCCTCTTCAGAGATATTGCAATAGTGCTATTCAAAAAGCACATCCAATTAGTTTAGCTAAACAGCTGAGGCTACATCTACACTGCAAATTAATTTTGAAATAAGCTATTTTGGAATAGTTATTTCAAAATAGCATATCTACACTAAAGGAAAGCCTCAAAATTAGTCCGAGGCAGACTCTCCTAATGTAGATGTGCTATCTCGATGTAGAGCCCCAGGAAACACTGGGGAGGAATAACTTAGAATGGCTCTGGTAAGGGGCTATTTCAAAATAATAGCAGTGGAACGTCTACACCCGCCTTATTTCGAAATAGCTATTTCGGAACAGGTGTTATTCTTCGTAGAATGAGGTTTACAGATTTTGGAATAAGCCTCCCGTTATTTCAAAATAATTTTGAAATAACTATGCGAACGTCTACACAGCCATTCCTTTATTTCATAATAATGGCTGTTATTCCAAAATAACTTTACTATATAAACATACCCTGATTTACTATGTGCCAACACAAAAATTTCATTAAGATTAAGTGAGGTTTTTGCTGGAGAGTGAATATTTTCCTTTAAAACACAATTTTACTGTCCAATTCACTGTTCAGTTTGTCAAACTCATTTCTAACGTTGCACAAACCACCTTAGCCTCAGATCTAAATAAACAATTAGACCAATATAACTGATTTTTTAGGGGGGAAAAAAAAAATCTATAATAGAACCTCAGTCACAACCCTAAATATGAGGCAACAACTGTTGCTCCATAATATATTTAGTTGATTTAGGGTACACATCTACATTCTGCTCTATGTCTTAAGCATGAGTATCTAAAGCTAAATAAATCATGTCACACCTACGCTTAGCAGTTTATAAGCATCTCATCTTTTCCCCATATGCTATAGATGTAATCCTGGCAGAAAAGTGAATTAATGTGAACGATGAACAAGCCAATTTTGCACAGATTTGGAATAGCCATCTTTTGGTGGATAGAAGGTTAAAAAAGCTGTTTTACTGTCCCTGGCATCTCCAACATACATAGAGTTAAAGTTTCATGAAGCTAACCTGAATTGCAAGATAAAAACTGAAAAGATAATTTCCTATATTGAGAATTGCTTTACACACACCCACCCACACACACACACACACCCACCCCCATTAACTACAGACTGTAGCGAAATATGGAAACACCAAGTATACAGTTACTGACAAAAAGTCCTGTATTTTTTATATACATGTAACAGAATGTAAATGGGAGAACAGGGATCTGAACTGATCTCTCTCATACCATATACATGGCGTTCAGTTTCCTCCATTCTTTTCTCCACTATATTTAATCTTATTTGATGTTTTAGTTTTAGACAAAGTATTGCATTTCAAAGGTCACCACAAATTAAGATAACTTTATACTTCAAAATATTCTCCAGTTTTACCATCCAACCACTGACTCAACTGTTATTAAAAATAAATTCTCATTTCTAAGATCTACATATGAAGGAGTGGGAAAATGAACAACAAAGAAAAGTCACAAATAGCACATTTGAGCTTAATTTTTAAAATTACTGCAAAAACAATCACAAAGGAAAAAATTCAAATTATACAAGCCTTTTTCAATATTAATGATCACTAAGGCAGCAGTGTTGTTTCTCCTCTACAACAATTTTCAGAAATTAATTTAGAAGACATTTCAGCATAATCAGGCTAGTTCTCTCCCAGCTGTAAGAATTGCTGATTGTATCATTATGATGTTACTTAGTAATCTGAGAACAAATTAGAACTAATATGACTTATTCAAACAAACATGACAAACAGTTTATTTCACTGTACTCACCATTTCCACGTAGTTCTATTAAACGAGAGGTCATTCATAACATGCTTAAAGATTTTCATGGCTTTCTTCAAAAACTGTGTAAGTGTGATAAACAGAACTCCAGAAAAGGCCTTGACCTAATCATTTCAACTGAACTGCTTGCTACCTTAACCCAATCATTTCTGAAGTAGATATCCAATTGAATGTTTCAAATAGTCTTGATAAAATGTTTTTGCTGCTTCACAAAAATTTCTTACAAAAGCATTACAAAAAAGTATTTTGATGCATCTTAATGTCTTTTACTTGCAAAAAAAAAAAGAAAGTTTCAAAAAACGGTAACTGAGCCTAAAAGTTACCAGAAACATAGTATTTAAACCAATGTTTTTTCATTAAAATTTCATTCAGTCATTTCAATAACAGCTTTTCCACAAACAAGCTCTTCAATTTTGTCAAACTTTGGCACTGTAAAGACTTAGATTTTGTGCTTTTAAACAAACTGCTACCTTAATACTCTAGTCTAGGATTTTCTGTTACATTCCTCTTGTTGAAAGTATTTTAAATGACAATTGGGAATAAGTCTGATTTTAAAAATACAATTTTTAAAGGTGGAAACTTTCATTTTAGGTTTAGACTCTAAACAGCCTTTCACTCTGGTGACCGGAGAATGTCCTCATCTCCCCAGCAATTCTGAACACTGCATGAGCTGTCTTTTTCTCACTAATTAGAGCGCGCTTAGTACTGCCTACAGTCTCTGTACTGGACTAATCTTGACATGCTATCATTATATTGTACAGCGCTGGGTCAGCCCACAGGGAGGAGAATATTTGCCACAATCAAGTGGTGCAATACATGATGTAAGCAAAACCTTCGAGACACACAGACTCTGTGTTGACAGAGGGTATAAGGAAGTTAAAGACCTGCCTGCAGATCACAATTTCCTCCACACCCTCAATGGAAAAAATCAACACACTTTGAGAAAAAAATGATTACATCGGCGCACATTGAAAAAAAAAATCGGCATCATTCTACTTTGTACTTTGTACCCACCAACTTATTTTAAAGAGCTATTTACCAAGCTGATTAATCCAAATACATTCAGTGTCAGCTCAAGAGAAATGGGCATTATTTTTATGCCATCCAACTGATGTCCACTGGCTAACTGACTCCAACCGATTAACTGAAGTAATGCCTTGCTTCTGCACTAACTTTACCAGCACAACACAAGGGAAACAATGTTGCCTGGCTGACCTTAGTTTTACCCACAGCAAATGTCACATGAAAAGCATGTCAGTTCAAGAACATGCATCTATCTACAAGCAGGGGCAGGCAAGATACAGCCCATAGGTCAGATCCAGTTCGCCAAGACTTTGGAACTGGCCAATGGGAGCTGCTATAACTGTGCTGGGGATGGAAGCAGTGCAAAAGTCTCTCTCCCTCCCCCACCATGCTGCCCAGAGAGGCACATGGAACAGCCAGATGTTTTGAGCAGCCTGGAGCTGTGGCAGGCAGAAAGCCCATCTGCAGATCCCACTGGGCTGCTGGCTGGGAGCCACTTAGGTAAGTACCTCCTGACCAGAGCCTGTATCTGGCACCCACTCCCCTCCTGCACCCGATCTCCCTGCCCCAGGTCACCTCTCAAACCCTCTGCTACAGGTCACAACTCCCTCCCAGACCCTACACCCCTTCTCACACCCCTATCCCAGATCAGAATCCTCTCCTGCACCTGTATCCCTTCCTGGACCCTGCATCCCAATCACCTACCCCAGCTCACACAATCCCCTCCTTACCCAAACACTCTCCCAGACCCCACACCCTTTCCTGCATCCCAATCCCTTACCCCAAGCTCACTATTGCACCCAACCTGTCCCAGATCCTGCACCCCTTCATAGAAAAGTGCAACCCTTTAGCACCTAAGAAAACCTTTAGCACTTAAGAATGGTCCCTCCACCAAAAATTACTGTCTGTCCCTGACCTACATTATTCTAACTCTAGAACTATCAGTTTGAAACTAAAAAGTACAGGGGAAAAGGAAGTGTTTACCACACTATGGTATCAATTAGCAATTTTTTCACTTTATAAAGTCTGTGCAAATCTTTGTCCCCCCTCTACTTTAAATGGAGAAAAATGCCAGTTTATAGAGTAACAAAAGAATGCCAACAGTAAAGAATAAAATGAGGGGAAGGAATCTGATAAACACCGACAAGGCTCAATATTCAAGTATCGACCAGTACACCTTAAATTAACATGATATTGTGATTCTTTACAGAATTATTTTTGTTATAGCTTTAAACTTCAAAACAATGAAGGATTCCATCACTATCAGAAAGCATAGTGTGTTTAAAAAAAATCCCTTATAATGAAGTCAGTTTCCATCAGTGACAACAAATGTGTTTGTGTAATTCACACCAGATACCAAAAATCCCAAATAATGTGTAACTTGCCAGAATATAACTCATGCACTTAATACTGCTTTCCTTCTCTGCATTATTCTAAATGGAACTACTCATACCCTCTGCAAACTGGAAATAAACTTACTGGCAAAATGTGAGCCATAAATACCATATTTTCCGGCGTATAAGGCGACTGGGCGTATAAGATGACCCTCTAATTTATTAGTTAAAAGATAGGTTTTCGTCTTATACTCGCTGTATAAGACTACCCCCCATTAAGAGGCCAACTGACAGTGCCCCAGCGCCCCTCCGCCTCCCCAGCTTTGCTCCCAGTGTCCCTGGTCTGCTGGAGACGGTCCCCAGCAGACCAGAGGCACCGGGAGCAAAGC